TATCGTGCCTACGACAAACACGCACGACTGTACATTACATTTAAACTAACGGAAGCACTTCCAATATATAATTAATACCTTCAGATACCAAGTTCCACACTTGCAGAGGTATGTGGCGGTCTGGTTGTTGGCTGTCCAGGGTCGGCCAAGCTAACAAGTATATAACAGCAATGGACACCACAATGTTGCCTCAGAACAACAGGCAAAACGCCTACTTTGGTCTCTACACCCAACCAGCACAGATGGGCGCCTACACCGTCATGCCCCACGGCTTATATCCTGCACAAGCTCCCACCCTCTTCAGCAATGGCCCTGCAGTGATGACACCCACTGGCTCCCCACGACCTGCTACACAGAAGCCCACAGTCCTGCTGGATACTGACTTCGACAACACTTACTTCCCGTCTACACCGCCCTTGTCGACCTCGGGCAGCACTGTTGGCAGCCCCAAGAGCTTCGATGCCCTCCAGACCCCCATGAACCCCATGTTCTCAGGCATCGACGAGTCTGAGATGATCAAGGAGAAGCTCGAGCCCATCGACCTGACTATTCTGGACTGGTCCAGCTGCGGGTCTCCCCCAATGACACCTGGTGAGTGACAACCAAATAATTGATTTTCTGTGTACCCGTACCGCTGTTTGGATTGGGTGGTTTTGGCGGTGTAATTCCTCGAAGCATGCGGATGTGCGGGTACCTGCCGCCATGTACAATCTCACCCACATTGTGGCGGGGCAATTGTGGCTAATGCGTTTTTGTCTTGGCAGTCTACCTGGAGTCTCACCTTGGCAAAACTCCGCTCAACGTCGCTGCCAGCTCTGTTCCCGCTGGTGCTTGCCCCTCGCTGTCGCCCTCGCCCGCACCATACGCTCGCTCTGTGACCTCAGAGGTTGACGTTGATTTCTGTGACCCTCGCAACCTGCTTGTGTCTGCCGTCACTGTCAACTCTACTTTGGCCCCAGAGGCTCCCATCACCACAACTTTGGCCGATGATCTGATTCGCCGGGAAGAGCTCAAGCCCGTCACCTCGCAGCCAGCTTTTGACTTCAACCCGGACATTCCTGACGGTCTTCCCTCATTCGAGGAGCTCTCCTACATTGAGTCTGAGGAAGACTTTGTCAACAGCCTGGTCCACTTGAGCGGCCAAGAGAGCATCGACACTGGCCGACCTCGCGCCTGCACTGGATCGTCAGTGGTTTCTCTCGGTCACGGCAGCTTCATTGGTGATGATCTCAGCTTTGAAGACGACAACTTCCAGTTCCCTTCTCTGCCCAGCCCTCCCTCTTCCGCCAACGTTTCCTTTGACGAGGACAGCCACCGCGACAAGCGTGTCAAGAAGACCATCAAGACCGAAGCCGTCCCCGCCATTCCCATCATGACTGCTGCTACTACTGAATCTCAGTCTAGCACTGAGCAGCCATCCACTCCCATCAAGGATGACGACATGGCCTCGGATGAGAGCAACAACTCATCTGGCTCCGAAGATGGCGGTTCTGCTCCCGCTCCCGCTCCTGCCAACCGCCGTGGTCGCAAGCAGTCTCTCACTGAGGACCCCTCAAAGACCTTTGTTTGCGATCTCTGCAACAGGCGATTCCGTCGCCAGGAGCATCTCAAGCGTCACTACCGATCTCTGCACACCCAGGAGAAACCCTTTGAGTGCAATGAGTGCGGCAAGAAGTTCTCCAGGAGCGACAACCTCGCGCAGCACGCTCGCACTCACGGCAGCGGTGCCATTGTCATGAACCTCGTCGAGGAGGGCGAAGTCTCTGCCTTTGATGCCGGCGTGATGCCTGCACCTGGGGCCGAAGACTACTCGCAGTACGGCAAGGTTCTCTTCCAGATCGCCTCCGAGGTTCCCGGAAGCTCCAGCGACCTCTCCTCCGAGGAGGGCGACAGCAAGAAGAAGCGCAAGCGTGCCGATTAAATCCACGACAACTTCGCACCCAGGGTCTGAATTCTCCATTTGAGATCTGAAATTTGATACGACGTCAACGACCTTTATTACTTTGACCGGCTCCCGCTTCACATTCGGAGCGTGGTGGTAAGGGTCACATCCTTTGTTTTCTGGGAGCAATTTGTTGGGTAGAGGAGCATAAAAAGAACGATAGTGTTATCAGGGCAGCGATCATGACTTGCATTTACAACTTCGATTCATGTATTTCTGTTTGGCAAGGCCTTTCGAGATCTCTCCCCGCGAGATCCATCCGAGGAAGACGAGAGTCTTCAACTCATGACCGCAAGGCAGAGTCGTTTGCAAGGGCTAGGAAATGGGACACACCAGGGCGTGCTTTTGGGCGGTTCAGCATCATCATTTTTTATTAACGACTGAAAAGAACGAACTTTTGGAATTGGCACCCGAGACAAATCCGGCAGGCCACAGCAAAGTATATGGAACTTGGCATTTTTTGGTACTTGATTTTTTGTTTTCTTTTTTTTCTTTACTTTCGTTTTTAATGCCATCGGATCCTGGAGTTGTTGATTCAACACTCGTCCTGGCAACACGGAGCTTGTTATTTTCGGGGGGTTCGATCCAGCTTCGACCTCCAGTTCTTGTGTTTTCTCTTCTTCTTTTACAGTCTACCCATCGTCGAGGTCTTGGGAATGCCGATAATGATTCCCGGCTGTGCCGGTCACGGCTGGGAACAGGAAACCCACTTGATCCTACTTCGATGTAAATTGCTACAGAATAAAGACTCTATTGCTTCCAATATTGATTCCTACCTGACTCGTGTGACCCAATACCGATGTGAATTCAAGTGAAAAATTGACACAGACTGGACGGAGCTCTTTCACTGCCAAGCACTCGCTAGTCATGATGTACACCTTGCCCCGAACCTTTTGGCAAGTTCGGATCCAGTAAATGAATTGTCTATCGCTTCGACGCCCGAACGAACTACTACGATTCATGTTCCTAGGACGGTGTGGCGGGTTGGTCCCATCTTGGGTCGATATGCCCTGTACTTCGAGCTCAGCTCGCCTGGAGGACCCTGCTGGTTCCATACCCATCAGCCGAGATTGTGTGATTTAAGCCATCGCTCGTCGCTTCACTAACAGGGATGCAGGGCTTCTTGGGACGACCCAGAGCTGGAGCGCGGGAGGGAAGAGCGGTGGTTGATCCAGACAGGGATGAGGGTGGTTCTGGGCCTCAACTTGGCTTTTGGGAATTCCCGTCCGACGGACCGGGGATGGCAAGGTCAGGTACCCATGTCCCTGCCTCGCCCATCTTTGTCCTGCTTCCCCTACCCTTGCTGGACCAGGATACTGGGAGAGAGGAGACGCTTGGGCCACGATGCCATGGGGGGATGGCCGTGGCCCAATTTCCTGCTTCCAGAGGATAACCGCGTAAAGCCTCCGGGGCGCATTGATTGGGTGATGATGGCGAAGGTTGGGAGAATTTTTCCCTTCGTTCCTGGTTCGGCCTCTCTGGGAATACGGTGAGGTGAGGTAGCCTTCTGGTCTCCCGCCTCTTTCCTCATCTCGCCTATCTTTGCTTTTTGTTGTTTTCGCAGAGGAAAATCACGGACGGGAGCATGGCCTTCTCCGGTACGGACCGCCCGTGCTCCAAGTCTGATGATTAGAAAATGCACGGGGCGTTTTATAGTTGCAAATCATCATGCGTAGTGGTCTCCCTCAGTTGACCGGCTCTTCCTTGCTAATAAGAAGGCGGAATACGCTGGAGGTGAACGGTGTAGAGCGGCATTGTGCAGGATCACCAAGGTTGGCGCTGCCTGCATATGCAGAACGCCAAATGCGCATCTTTCTCTCCCGCCAGGCTGGGCTCCCCTTGCTATCGTCCTCAGTCCCTTGGGGGTGGTTTTCACCGCCTAGTCGGAGGTATCGAAGATCAACCAATCTCCATATCCAAGCTGCCACGCCCATGCACCACACCCCCTCCCCTACCTACTATTACCGGGTGTCAAAGGAAATAAAACGACCCGCCTGCGCGGACGGACCTGGAATTGGTTTGGACGTCAGGTCGAGCCACGTTCCTGGACCCTAGGTCTCGGAGCGCTTCGCAGGCTAGTCTCACTCTGACAGCTGCCCGTATCGCGTGTGTCCTGATCTTTTTCTCCGAAGAACGGCCTCTTCTGTGGCGAGCGGATTGAGTCCGTTTACGAAAACAGCTTTTCCCAAAGAGTCGATCTTATCAGACCATCTTGAAGGATCTGGACCCTGGCGGGCGTGAATTGGAGGGGAGTTTGTCGTCGAATACGCGGACGCAATAATAGAATGTTCCATGTCTTATAATTCGAGCAGGGCCCTTTCGACCCGACCCCAGAGAAATGGTTCCAAAGCGGAAAGTGACACATGGAGCACACAAATCGTTCGGGGGCTGGGCCTGGCCTGTCAAGACGCAAGAGTGAGCTCGTGGCAGGCATTTTTCCCGGCTCCCGGCTTTATTGACGGGGGACCAGAATAGAACTGTTCAATGCCATGAATCTGATGGTCGGTCCTCAATCTCGCACACTGTGTTATGGAACGTCCCACATGAAACAAATGTCACAGGTTTCGGGCGGGGCCAAATTCATTACCTTGATGGAGCCGACATGAATGGGATGTTCGTAGCCGATATCATGTGAGTCTTACTCGTATTCTGATATTGACAGGCAGCTCGGTAAGACCGGTGACTCTTGAATGAATTGCCTGGGCTCGGTGGGCAGGTGGGTAGTTGTTCAGATTGTGTCATTGGGATCACTCATTTTGCCGTTGGGAGTATTATGCTTCCTTTCATTATGGATAGATGTGAAGGAAAGTACAACTGACACTATTCCTCATAATGTGATGTCTACTGTATGCATCAGGCACAACATATGTAAGTGACATGTCTGAGGTTGCTTCTCTCTGTGGAGCATCCGGGTCTTGATCATGCAACTTTCCGCAACACTCGAGGTCACATGACCTTGAAACCCACCAAATGGGATTCACATCAATATCACCAATATCTGCATGCATGGAGTAGGCAGAATCCAACGATAAGAGCACGTGCGAAACAGAAGCTCGCCATGTCGTCTGATCGCCTCAATATCATCGCTCTGATATCCGGCGGCAAGGACAGCTTCTTCAGCCTGCTCCACTGCCTGCAAAACGGCCATCGGGTCGTGGCCCTCGCCAACCTGTACCCTGAGACTGCCGATGGCGCCTCCCAAGGATTCCAAGCCATCGATCCTGCCGGCTCCCTTGGATCCTTGGCACAGGCGGGAGAGGGGGACGGCGTTTCTGGGGATCTCAATAGCTTCATGTATCAGACAGTCGGGCACGAAATCATTTCTTTGTATGCATCTGCGACCGGACTGCCCTTGTACCGCCAGCCCATAACGGGCGGCTCGGTGCGCCATGAGCGAGACTATGACTGCGGCCCGGCCGAGACCGCCTCGGACGAGACCGAATCCATGGTTCCTCTGCTCAAGGGCGTGATGCAGCGCCATCCTGAAGCCAACGCACTGTGCGCGGGTGCTATACTGTCCACGTACCAGCGGACAAGAGTCGAGTCGGTCGCTCTGCGGCTCGGCCTCACGCCCTTGGCGTACTTGTGGAAGTACCCGATTCTGCCTTTCCCGGGCCAGGCGGATGACGATGCCCTGCTCTTAAAACACATGGCGAAATCTGGGCTTGAAGCCCGCATTATCAAGGTGGCCAGTGCTGGGCTGGATGAAGACAACCTTTGGCATCGGGTGACGAGTAATGAGGGCGCCGAGCAGGTTAAGCGAGCCCTTCGCAAATTCGGTGCTGCCGGGGGTGCGGTTCTGGGTGAGGGTGGTGAGTTCGAGACGATTGTAGTGGATGGCCCCTCGGCGCTCTTCAAGAAGAAGATTGTCGTTCCCGAAACGTCTAAGAAAGTAGTTCGCGAGGGTGGTGGCTCTACATGGCTCCTACTACGAGGGGCTGGCTTGGAAGATAAGCCAGAAGACCAGAGTGAGGTGACGGTATCAAAACCGGATTTGTTCGAGGCCAGGTTCCAGGCTGTGCTCGACGACCTCTCGGACTCGTCGAAGCTGGAAGCCTGGACAAAGGACAATTGTACATCTTCACATAAATCCTCATCCCTTCTTGGAAATGCCCCCAAGTTGCCGAGCGAAGACCCCCGACTTCTGCATTGGCACGTGGTAGGAAGCCAGCATGGAGCAGATGGTGATCTTTCTATAGATGCCGAAACCGCTCAGGTCATTGCTGTGATTCGTCAACGGCTTGTTGCCCACAAGCTGGATGCAGGCCAAATTTCAAACACTATCGTTGTCATCCGCCGTATGTCTGACTTTCCTAGGGTCAATGCGGTGTACGCGAAACTCTTCACGAAACCAAACCCACCTGCCCGTGTTACTATCTCTTGCGGCGATCTGCTCCCCCACGGTTCGAATATTGCGGTATATTTATCCATCAGCTCCGCCCAGCCTGACCTGGCGGACCGCCAAGGACTCCACGTTCAGTCGCGGTCGTACTGGGCGCCCGCCAATATTGGACCTTACAGTCAAGCCGTAGGTCTTCGTGTCACTGCACAGGGCGAATCCACTAGTTTGAGGACATGGTCCGTTGCTGGCCAGATTCCCCTCATTCCCAGTTCTATGGCACTTCCAACCGACGGGCCTCTCTCATCCCAGATACAAGTTGCTCTATCGCTACAGCACCTATGGAGAATAGCTTTAGACTTGAAAATACAATTCTGGACGAGTGCTGTCGCTTTCTTCTGCGCTCAGCAGGACTCTTCAAACAGCAAGATGATGACGAACTCGAAACTAGCAGGGTTGGCCTGGAAGTTGGCTCACGGATCTCCTGACGACGACGAGGAGACTGAATCTGGACCGGACCCTTGGGATCTCAAGTACAACCCGCAGTTTATGTCTCTCGGTGGAGAGCAATCACAGAATGCCAAGCCGCACCTACCCGACTGGGAGGTTCTGACCCTGCGTCAGCAAAATGAGCCAGAGGCCAGTATCCCCCCTTGCTTCGCGGTCGAGGTTGAGGAGCTGCCCAGGCAGTCCCAGGTGGAATGGCATGCACACATCGGCCTTGCTCAAGTTGCAGAGGGCACAGTTGAGACGATAAGTCTCGGAAGATCCGAAATAACTACGTCGTGGCAGACGTGGCATACGGTTGTGAAGACATCCGAGTCTGTCTTTCTCCACACAGTTGTGGCTCGGGATCTCCCAGCCTCGGGCGAGTTGCTAGCGTATCCTTCTTTCGAAAAGGAACTTGCTTCGGTTTATGAAGAGTCCCTTGGGCGTCTCCGTATAGACAAGTCATCTGGGACTTTGGAAATGCCGTATCTTACATATATGGATGTGAGTGCCATTGAGGCTCCTTGGAACGGTGCATCTAGCTCTCTTCAGCATGCTCTCATACCCTGCCGCACTATTTGGTCCTCTAAGGGTAGCCGCCTAGGAGCGATATCCCTTTATAGAACAGTGGTATCAACATGATCCACCAAATAGTATTGATTACTGGCATAAACTGTTCGAGTATTCACAGTCAGGCTTCGGCTTATTGCATAGCGAGCGGCGCATCAAATATACGCTCGATGCGTTCAGGGCAGCCCAAAACCCGAGTGTTTGTCCCATGAAGAAGACTTGAAGATGGGCACATCATCTGGCACTACTTGGCGAATGGGTGTACGTCCTTTGATTCTGTTCGGGAAGGAGGGCAAGCCGGAATGGCTAGAAGGAATTCCTAGCTGCTCCGAAAGGTACGGTAGTAAGTTGACAGTCTTGTTTCTGAAACCATAGGCCTTGCTTTAGACTGATACACCGGCATTCCTTGTTGAGAGTAACATTCGCGCAAATGCCATTTCCTTGGTAGGGAGGCATGGTGCGTGTCTTGTCACTGGATTTGTCTTCTGACTAGAAACTCTATTGGCACTTACCCATTTGACGGTGTTGACGGAGCATATTCATCCTTGCATCTCGCTCTAGAAATAGCCATTCTGAGGTGTGGTGTAGATTTGCAGCCGGGCTGGCACTGGAATGTCAAGCACAGGTATCGAGCAGACGGTTGGCGGGTTAGCTCTGTGCAGAATGACAGGCTCAATCTCAACCATCGTGATTTATTAAGTGTACTTTTCACAGCCCCTTGAAGTGCTCTTGAGTTGAATTTGCTGCGAGCAGAGTCCCCTCCCCCGGATTATACCCATTGGATACCTAGGTAGTAAGCACCACCTCCAGCGTACTGACACCAGCCACCAACCAACGTGCTCGGGTGCCTTTTCGGCTCAAGGGCGAATTATAAGCATGTATTCAGACCCGCCTTCCCATTCCGGCAACAATTTAATCCCCGGATCTTCGTTGCAGAACAACGTGATTGTAGTGCCTTGTGTAGCGCCCTGTAGCACGCTCCAACTGTCACAACGTTTGGGGTTGGACCAAACCTTGCAAGAGAGTCTCGGCGGTACTTATTCCCGTTACTCGACGAGCAGCTGCAGCGGTGTGTTCCTGGATCTTTGTGCCAGCACCTGACTTGGCCCCGATCATGGGAAGGGATCACGGATGGCAGATGGTGGGGTGCCGTCGCGGTGTGGCCCAATACGGTGATGAGGCTGAGCTACGTAATAAATTGGAGCCGAAACTGTACCGTGGGCTTGCCGCTCATGTGAGCTCGGACCAGTTGTTCTCGTGAACAGTTTTGCCAGTCATGCTCATCAATTGATTCGGCAGTGCCAAGCAGCGGGATCTAGGTAATGATTTACTGTTGCAGCCGTCTGCTGGCTCTGCATGCTTACCTACATGTAGGCACGATTACACCGACTCCTCTGCTCCCACCAACTCCGCTCGTCCTATCGCGCCCTCTCTGGTTGACGCCTTTCTCCCTGGCTATGGCGTGATGGGAGATGTTTGTTTCACCCACGACAGAATTAAGTGACGAGCAAGGGTGAAACCCCAGTTATGGCCAGCCTGAATCGTCAGAAGGTCTGTACGGTCAAGCAATCCTCCACTGCCGCTTCCACCGAGAACATATTGCACACCCCCGTCGGCATGAGCTCCAACACTGACCCATCCGATGGTCCACAGTCTTCGGGCCTCCGCGCCGCCTCGACTCGGACGCCGCCGCGCCAACGGCTACGGCGAGGGTCTACCAGCGAGCGGATCGAGGAGATTCTCGAGGTGAGTGCCCCTCTCCATTAGACCCCGCGCTTCCCGGCCGATGGCATTGACTCGATAGACAGAATGCCCGCGAGCGAGCCGATAGCATAGTTGCCGAGTCAATGGCCTCGAGCGCCCACCTCGATTCTCCGCGAAACAACCGCAGCCACTCTCCCCAGCGGCTGAACGACGATGGTGTTGACGCCGACGAGACGACCGCGTTCCTCTCGGAGCGATTGAGGGGCAGCATTTACAGTACAACTCTGCAGGGTCCCAGCAGTGATGGGGGTCCACGTAAAAGAGGCTCTGCCCTTGCTACGTCGCAGTCCACGCTGCTGGGCGAGAGCAACCACCCTCCGAGAGATTCGAGCGATGAATCGGATGGATCCTCGGATACAGATGGTAATTGGTGGCAGACTCTTACGGCCCCCTTCCGCTCAATTGAGCTAGAGAATAAGGGGAGTGTGGCTCGTGATCATCTGGCACTGGGTGCGTAGTATCTACATTCTGTCTTACCCTACCACTTATCCCCGCCGTTTGGGGCGAGGGTCATAGCATGTCAGCTAATCAGCCCGGTATTCGCGGGTTCCCGTATAGAACGCACATTTCTCGCATGGCTTCGAACTTCGTTGGCTTTTGCATCCATAGGCGTCGCCATTACACAGCTATTCCGCCTCCAAACGTCCCTCCCTGATTCCGGGAGCGTGATCAACCAGGATACCCTACGGCATATCGGCAGACCCCTGGGCGCCGCCTTCCTAGTCATCAGCATTATCATACTTCTGCTCGGTTATAGACGGTACACCCAGGGGCAGAAGTGGATTATATTGGGCAAGTTCCCGGCCAGCAGAGGCACCATCATCGTCGTGTCCCTCGTGGCACTTGCTATCATGATATTATCATTGGTCGTGGTGATTGTGATTCACCCTTCGGAAGATTGAACGAGCTGGATGACTTCCATTTTTGGATGAGATGAGTATTATGTTGGTGTTTCTTACTATGGCGTGGTTTTCTAGCCAACTGGAGTCTAATCTCGGGAGACCATCTGGTTATATTCATGTTTTTTTCTGTAAGCACGATAAATTAGAGATCTGGGAGCACTTAATTCGCATGGCTACCGCTGGTGTTTATTTGACTTGGCTAGGTTTACAATACAAATCACATCTGTGTATTTCGGTTTAATGTTGCAACATAACGAAGGCCTTCTGTTGTACATAGCTCCACTCAAATGCACCTGCAGCCATCTTACTTGCTTGTTAGTGACGTACCTCCGGCCTCGACCCATTTGTAGGCGGGGTTGCGGTACCTCAGTATCTGTTCCACCCCCATCACATCTCATCAAGCTGCCAGATGGTTCTGCCAGAGACTCTATGTTAAGATACTCCACCAACTCGATTGGTGATACTTTTCATTTGATTGAATTTTCTATCACGTGCCGTCTCACCCACGGCCATTCAAACCGCAATCATGGCTCGGGGAGAGCCTGTTGATGTCTCCTCGTTTGCAGCGACCCAGCTTGCGCTGCTTGACCAGGAGCTGCAGATCGAGATTCAAGAGACTGGCACGCTGGTTTCCAGCCATACGCCCACGGCTCTTCAGCGGGCGGGCCTGGCCATCACCAATCTCACAGTAGCTTCGCAGCGAACCGGCCTCGGAGGCAGGACGGTGCTTGATCTCGGCCCGGATGCGGCGACATCCACCACTGGCGACTTGCCCGAGCATGGCATCCGGACGGGTGACATTGTCCTTGTGGCGGAGCAGCCAGCTGGCAGCGCCAAGAAGCGAGAGATCAAGGATCTCGAGAGCAAGGGGGCCAGAGGTGTTGTCGTTAGGGTCCAGAAGGGAATAGTTGCCCTTGCTCTAGACGAGGGGAAGGACGAGGTTGTGTTTAATGGTCGAGTATGGATAGTCAAGCTGGCAGACGAGGTGACATATCGAAGGTGAGCCATGCCAGTATCTGATTTTTCTTCCTATGCTGGGAGACATTATTTGATCGCCCTTTCGAACAATGACTAGAATGAAGCAGACCATGGAGAAATTGCAAAACATGACCGAGTCTGAATACTCGAGTTTTGTCAGGGTGCTGTTCGGCCTGTCCAGTCCCTCGCCCGTCCCTAAAGAATTTTCCAGTGATAGCGATCTCGGGAAAGTTGCATGGGTCAACCCCCAGCTGAATGATTCCCAGAAAGAGGCCATTCAGTTCGCGCTGGCCTCTCGCGAGGTGGCGCTGATCCACGGACCTCCAGGGGTGAGCATTCGTACACCTATATATTGGAATGAGACAAAAGGCATCGACTGACCTATGGCTTTAGACTGGTAAAACTCATACTCTGATCGAGCTGATTCTACAAATGGTCAAACGCGGGCAGAGGATCCTGGTCTGTGGACCATCCAACATCTCCGTTGACAACATCGTTGAGCGCCTGTCCCCACACAAGATCCCTATCCTTCGACTTGGTCACCCTGCCCGCCTCCTGCCATCGGTTCTTAACCACTCCATGGACGTCCTCACCCAGACTTCCGAGGCCGGGGCTATCGTGAAGGACGTGAGGGCGGAGATGGACGCCAAGCAGGCATCCATCAAAAAGACCAAGAGCGGGCGGGAGCGGAGAGCCATCTACGGCGAGCTAAAGGAGCTCCGGAAGGAGTTCCGGGAGAGGGAGAGGAAGTGTGCCACCACCCTCGTCGGCGGGAGCAAAGTTGTCCTCGCCACCCTCCACGGCGCCGGGGGATCTCAGCTGCGGAATCAAGAGTTCGACGTGGTGATCATCGACGAGGCCAGCCAGGCTCTCGAGGCGCAGTGCTGGGTTCCGCTGCTCTCTGCCAAGAAGGTTGTGTGTGCCGGTGATCATCTGCAGTTGCCACCTACGATCAAGTCGATCAATTCAAAGGACAAGTCGGGAGGGAAGGATGCGGCGAAGCCGATCCGGGGCATGACCCTCGAGACGACCCTCTTTGACAGACTGCTCAAACTGCATGGTCCGTCCATAAAGCGCATGCTGACGACGCAGTACCGGATGCATGAGAAGATTATGCGTTTCGCGTCCGACGAGCTATACGAGTCGAAGCTTGTGGCTGCGGATGCTGTCAAGGATCGCCTTCTGAGCGGCCTCGAGTACGATGTGGAGGAGGGAGAAAACACCACAGAGCCTCTCATATTCATTGACACACAGGGGGGAGACTTCCCGGAACGGACTGAGGAGGACAGTAAGGATGGTCCGAAGAAAGGTAGGGGAAGTTTGCTTGGGGATAGCAGAAGCAATGAGATGGAAGCTGCTCTGGTTCGCCAGCACGTCAAGGAATTGGTCGGAGCTGGCGTCAATGCGGAGGATATTGCGATTGTTACCCCATATAATGCCCAGGTATGTTTATTTCAGCTCCTTCATATGCACAACAACGAAGATCGACAATTGTACTAAATCCGCTACGCTCTCGACAGCTGGCTGTACTAGCTCCACTCAAAGAGAGATTCCCCGGTATCGAACTCGGCAGTGTCGACGGTTTCCAAGGCCGTGAGAAAGAAGCAGTGATTGTTACTCTCGTTAGGAGTAACACAGAGGGAGAAGTGGGCTTCCTGTCAGAGAAGCGGCGGCTCAACGGTAAGTAAAAGGAAAAGGAGGCCTGGTGAATGGTGGTCTACCGGTGTCTCTTGAATGGTAGATTACTAACAAAACATGTGTGCTACAGTTGCAATGACTCGCCCCAAGCGATCTCTAACAGTCATTGGAGATTCGGAAACAATAAAGAGGTAAGCATCTCACTTGTTATAGTCCCGCGTGTTGCTCCTATATTAACCTTTAAATTGAAAGGGGAGGAAATTTCTTGAAACGTTGGATGGAGTTTTTGGAAGAAAATGCAGACCTTAGATACCCTGATGCTTCGACCCTTTCCTTAGAGGTTTGATATGGCGTATATTATAGGTAGCTCTCAAATGAGGTAGCAAATATGATACGGAGTCTTCTAATGGAGGGCATAGGGATGGTTCAATTCCATACAGCTTCAACATGTGATAATTTGGCGGATACGAGACTGCTTCACCATTGACGTAGGACCACTGCCATCTATCCTGATTCTACCCTAAGTTATAAAGGGAGAGAAGGCAATGGCGGGATTGCAGACTTGCTATATCTACGTCACTCCTGGATACATCACGGTCCTTTGCTTTTGGATGTATATGGGAGCAAGGTGAAGTCCTTGATAAAGACGGAAGCGGGCAAGTGTGACGGAAGTGTGGTGGATACAGGATCCCGATATTACGGGGCTTGCGCCGGATCTCGGGGATCTACGGCCGGTTTGTGGCTTCTGGCTTTCGTGATAGTGGTGCACGACCTAAAGAGCGCCGGGCCTGACTGTGCATAGTTGGGATCCTGGGTAGATATTCTCATATGCATCTAGGTATCGATGGTTGAGCCAGGCTTTCTGCAGCTGCGTTTGCGCAGGACACTTGTCGCACGGTATGCTGAGTTGAGGGATAGAACTTGAGGTTGCCTTTCTCCAGCACAGTTTCTGCAGCTGAATGCATAAAACGCGCCACATGGCAAGAAAATAACGCCTTTTGCTCAGGTACACCCCTCCAAATATCTCTGCCATGTGGATGGGTCGATTAGGCATGAATCTTGACCCCATCCTGCATATTGAGATTGAATACGACCTCAATGCATGGCTGTCCGCCTGAATTGACGAATCAACGTCCGTGATGTTTATTGATGCAAATATCTATTTGCAGCGGTTTTGGCGGCTCACTTACATTCTTCACTATCATTGTAGGCACGTGGCTAGCTGCAGGGGCAATACTGGCAGTTTGTATCCTCGTTTCAAATGTAAGGATAGACTGTCATTATTGAATACGAACGCGGACTAACTTAAGTTTGTTGAGTATGAACTTTCTCTCTTTGCCTGCTACGGAGTGGGGTGGAATGATAACTATACTGGGAAACCATCCCCCCCCCCCCCGAAAAAACGAGCATTAGCGAAGACTGCCCATCTTCTCTTCCTCAGAGTTTGCAGATACAAACATATTAGTAGTAGAGATCATCTAATCACTTTATACTGGTGAATTGAATCACTAACTCTATCAGTCGGACAGGATCATTCCTCTAGATGAGACTCTATGGCGTCTATAACCTTTTGCATCACAGCTAGCCTTTTAGATTAGGGAGTCATTTTTAGGACAGAGTAGGCTTAATCTTATCAGTTGCCCAAACCTCGAGGTTCGGGTTATTGTGTGCACTTGCTGTCTCTTCAAGCTCCAGGTTACCACCGTCCAATTTGTCTGCGCTTCTCGTACGTGCAGAGACTCATTTTCTAATTCGATCTACATCAAGTAGTTCGCCAGCAACATGGACTCTAACAGATATTATAGCTGCCTAGGCCTTTGAATCGTCCTAATAGTTGATTCAACCTTGACAAAGTGCAACCATCAAGCCGAGAGAATTCAGAAACCCAAACTCAACCCTGATGGCTATCTACAGCCATGAGCCCTTCTGTTTTTATCTACCTCTATGAGGCTCTCTCTCTCGAAGTTTAAGAGCCTTAACGTGTTGAAGTAACATTCTAGAGACATACACATGCGAACAATTTGTCCGACCGACCAAACTTCAAAGGACCGGTGCTTGCTGAACAACGATCCTCACAACACTGCACCCTTTAATTTATCATCACTACGTCTGACTGCAGCGCCTGAGCTGCAAACAAGTGCTAAATCACCGACCTCTTCTAAGCTTTGTAAGGTAGAAGTAGAGCCTATTTCCCCGTGACTGTTAGTTCAGTAAGCATTCTGTCTACTAAAAGAAGTGTTCGGGGGGTGGATGTATCTGCTCCTCGATACTGCTGTCAATTTGGCTCAAGATGGCTGGAGACCTCAATATCATCAACGTCTGTCTGGTCCCTACTATTGTGATAAGAGAGCTTGATCTTAACAACGGGCTCAAGGACTTCATTC